CACGGGGCTTACACGCTGAATGCATGGCCGGTGGTGGGTGCACGTATATGCGGGCTTACATCTGCTAGTTTATACACATATACCTCCCCCGCCAGACCGAGATGGCATGAGGAAATGTTTACACGACAGAACCTACATCACTGCTAGCTAGGTCCTCTCGCCGGCTTCCTAAAATGGGATCGGCGTGGATATGCTAGGAAGCTGGCGCTGTGGATGCAAGCACGATGGTATTTAGGCGTGGCTACGATACTAGGATACTAGGATGCTGGCACGATGGCTGCTCTTCGTGGCTATGCTAAGATGCTGGCACGGTAGCAGATAGGCGTGGCTATGTTAAGATTCTAGGATGCTGGCACGATGGCAGATAGACGTGTCTATGCCAAGATGCTAGGATGCAGGCACGATTGCAGATAGACGTTGCTATGCTAAGATGCTAGGATGCTGGCACGATGGCAGCTACTAGTGACTATGCTAGGATGCAGGCACGATGGCAGATAGACGTGGCTATGCTAAGATGCTAGGATGCTGGCACGATGGCAGCTACTAGTGACTATGCTAGGATGCAGGCACGATGGCAGATAGACGTGGCTATGCTAAGATGCTAGGATGCTGATACGATGGCAGATAGACGTGGCTATGCTAAGATGCTAGGATGCTGGCACGATGGCAGCTACTAGTGACTATGCTAGGATGCAGGCACTATGGCAGATAGACGTGGCTATGCTAAGATGCTAGGATGCTGGCACGATGGCAGCTACTAGTGACTATGCTATAGGATGCAGGCATGATAGCAGATAGACGTGGCTATGCTAAGATGCTAGGATGCAGGCATGATGGCAGCTACTAGTGACTAAATGATAGGATGCAGGCAACTATGGCAGATAGACGTGGCTAGCTAAAGATGCTCAGGATGCTGGCAACGATGGGGCAGCTACTCAGTGACTATGCTAGGAATGCAAGGCACGATGGCCCAGATAGACGTGGCTTATGCTAAATGAATGCTAGGATGCTGGGCACGATGGCAGCTACCTAAGTGACTATGCTAGGATGGCTGCACATGGCAGATAGACGTTGCTATGCTAAGATCAGTCTAGGATGCTGGCACGATGGCAGGCTACTAGGGACTTATGCTAGGTTGCAGGCACGGATGGCAGATAGACTTGGCATATGCAAGATTGCTAGGCATGCTTGGGCACGATGGCAACTACTAGTGACTATTGCTAAGGATGCAAGGCACACGATGGCAGATAGACCGTTGCCTAATGCTAAGATGCTAGGATGCTGATGACGATGGCAGATTATACGTTGCGATGCTATACGGACAGGCAGTCAATGCAGATAGACGTGGCTATGCTTAAGAATGCTAGATGCTAGGCACGATGGTCTGCTAGACGTGGGTATGTTAAGGGGCAGAAAATTTCTTAGTGTGGGATATCCGAATCTAAGCTGCTCATTCTACTCAACAACACCTGCTCCCCAGGAGCAAGGCAATTCGACGCCTACACACACACTCGGATTAGGTGAATGGCTCCTCCAGCACCCGCACTCCCCCCCTCTCTCCCCCTTTCTCTCCTCTCTCTCGCTCTCATCTTCACCCCTCTCTCTATCTATCTTTTCTTCTCAGCGCATCCTCTCTCTCTCTACTCTCATCTCTCCTTTGCCTCCCTCATTCTTCCTTCCCCCTTTCCTTTGCTTTTTCCCTCTGTTTCCGAATAAGAGTCCTAAAACATACGCCCACCGTCTTCAGGGTTCTACCCTAACCCCCGGCCACGGGACCGTCACGTTCGGTAGCAATCAGCGGGGCGGGGCGCGTGGCGGCTTAGTTTCATACCTTATAACCCACCATTCGCGATTCCGTCACATGCCACCTCCAGCTGCGGGAAAGAGAAGCGAGAAGTAACAACGGGCTGTTGGGCGGCAGCTCGTCGCTGCAACCTTACGCGAACAAGATTTATTTTTGTGTGTTTTTTTGGCTTTTCGCCGGGGATACGGCCAGACGACTGACATTGTTGTCTCCATCGTACTCGCGTCGCAGTTGCGAAGGGCGAGGTGGAATTACCGGAGAATGAATTACCGCAGCGCGATCCAGCCCTACGGCCGACGAAATTTCCTGCCTCGTGAGTCTGACCTGATTTAACCTGATGCAATGCGGTGCGGCAAACGTAGCAATGACGCCGATTACACTGGCTACTCTGCTTCTGCTGCAGTCAGCTGTGTTGCTACTGTGGTGTGGTGGTGCACGTAAAAATGGGAGCTAGATGAATTGGGCGTTTGGCGTTCATATTACTGTGACGGTGAGGATCCTGCGGAACGCGCGGGCGTCATACTGAGCCATTCTAATGACAGGCCTGGCCTAAAATTGATTGTTCTGCGCGGGGGAGGTGTGTAGTTGTGTGTGTGTGTGTGTGTGTGTGTGTGTGTGTGTGTGTGCTGTGTGTGTGTGTGTGTGTGTGTGTTGTCGTATGTGTGTGTGGTGTGTCGTGTGTGTGTGTGGGCCTGTGTGTGTATTGTGGTGGCGTAATCTCGTATGTGTGTGTGTGTGTGTGTGTGTGTGTGTGTGTGTGTGTGTGTGTGTGGTGTTGTGTGTGTGTGTGTGTGCAGTGCGTGCGGGTATGTGTGTGTGTGTGTGTGTGTGTGTGTGTGTGTGTGTGTTGTGTGTGTGTGTGTGTGTGTGGTGTGTGTGTGTGGGTGGGTGGGCGGTGGCTGGTGTGTGTGTGGTGTGTGTGTGTTGTGTGTGTGTGTGTGGTGTGTGTGTGTTGGGTGTGTGTGTGTGTGTGGGTGGCGGGTGGCTGTGTGTGTGTGTGTGTGTGTGTGTGTGTGTGTGTGTGGTGGGGGGTGGGCGGTGGCTGTGTGTGTGTGTGTGTGTGTGTGTGTGTGTGTGTGTGTGTGTGTGTGTGTGTGTGTGTGTGTGTGTGTGTGTGTGTGTGTGTGTGGGGTGGCGGGTGGCTGTTGTGTGTGTGTGGTGTGTGTGTGCTGTGTGTGGTTAGTGTGTGTGTGCGCGCGTGTGTGTGCGTATGTACGTGCAGTATGGGGAGAATAAAGGGAGACAGTAATGCATCTAACTTTCCACGTTAGTTTAGCAGTTGACGCGGAGTGCAGCACGTGCATGGTTCGCTTCCCTCTCACGCGTCACGTATAGCCATCATCGGTCCATCGCATCATTAATTACTGCATATCGTTCACATCTCTGAGATCTCAGATAGACTAGTGTAAATTACAACCACGGCGTTGACAGCGCTCGATGTTAGCTCGCCAGGCAAAGCGTGAAATCCTGAAGTTAATATTTATATTATAATAGCAGACGCCAGATTTGCTTCCCTCGCATTATTTAAGTAATTCGTTGTAAATACCTCAGTACGATAGATACTGATATTCAATCGTGATCGCATTTTCTAGCAGATTGATACTCAATCAAAGCGTGCGATGGTGGCGTATTTTGTGTTGTGATCATCTAATCAAAGCATAAGATCGCAGTATTGTAGCTACGTGATCACAACGTGTAATGGCGTAAGCAGTTTCACTAGAGATAACAACTATCATTCAATAATTCTGTGATAGGTTCTTGCTCACCGCGAAATACTTCATTAGAGTATTTCATATTTCGTAAGTAAACTGCATGTATTGCTCTCGCATTGCGATTTCGACTCTATTATCAATGTGGACAGTATGATCGCTGCTTAAGAGTGCGAAAAGCCCTAACCCCATATATTATATCAGCGGTACAGGTGCCTTCACGTCGTGCGCACGATAGCTGATGAGAGTGTGTGTGTGAGTTGATGTGAGTGAAATATAGTCCTAGCTTTACTGTACCTCGGCGCCGCCGTCACCGCCGCTGCCGCCGGTATTTCGCGCAAGAGTGACTCCCGGACTACTCCAGCCGGATTATAAATGCAGTGAAAAGAATTGAAAACTACGACGAGGCGCTGAACGCTGATAGAGAGAGAGATAAAGGGAGAGCGATAAAGAGAGAGAGAGGGAGAGAGAGAGAAAGAGAGGGGAGAGAGATAGCACGCTCGAGTAATAAGCTACGTATACTACCGGTATAGCAGGAGCTCTTGTGTGACGAGAGCATATATAGCGCCAGTTCCAGATAGATAGTTCCAGTGAGACATTTGTTACTACATTGCTCGGGTACAATGTACATCTAATAATAGAATTCTTGAAACCTCTGTACATAACATTCAATAACCGCGCCACGCAGCAGTGGTCGACCCAGACGTCGTGCATTTTTTCAAAATGCGCGTCGTCTCAACCCTGTTAGCACAGCAGCAGCAGGAGCCGCTAAAGTTATAGCCTAGGTGTGTGTAGGGGGAAGGGGTTATTCTATACTTAACAGTAGCAGTGCAGGGCAATTGCATCGGGAATGCGGCACATCCAACCGATACCAGAGTACACACAAGTATGGCTGGCTGCGTGCTCCCGCGCCCCTGGATAAATAACCTGACTGATATCATAGCATCAGTAGTGACGTAATATATATATATATATATCTATATAGCTATAAATATAGATACATGAAGATACATCTCTGTATAACTATATGATCTGATTGATATTATGACATCGCCTGGGATATTTTCCTGGATGACATTATAGGATATCACCTGTATTATTTAATTGGAGGACATTATGATATCACTTGTATTATTTACTTGGCTGACGTTATAACATCACCTGTATTATTTACTTGGCTGACGTTATAACATCACCTGTATTATTTACTTGGCTGACGTTATAACATCACCTGTATTATTTACTTGGCTGACGTTATAGCATCTGTAGTTATTTACTTCGGCTGACGTTATGACATCACCTGTATTATTTACTTGGTGGTGACGTTATGACATCACCTGTATTTACTTGGCTGACGTTATGACATCACCTGGATTATTTACCTGGCTGACGTTATGACATCACCTGGATTATTTACCTGGCTGACGTTATGACATCACCTGGATTATTTACCTGGCTGACGTTATGACATCACCTGAATTATTTACCTGGCTGACATTGTTTCATGAGCTCGCAGTCGCAGGCCGGCTCCCTGTCTTGTGAGATGCATATGCATCCTTCCGAGCAAGGCTCCCTCGCCGTGAATCTCTCGCACGTCTCCAACGGATACGTAGCGACGCCGTCCGAGTCGACCAACGCCGGCCGGTAGATAGCGCCACACGAACAATTAGAGAAGAACACGTTGCGTATGTGTCCGTTGAGTCGCGGCGGCTCGTAGATGACCGACGGCAGAGCGAACGCGTGCGGACTGACGCCGGACACGCCGCCGAAGTACACATCGCTGTTCGTGTCGTAGTTGCCGAACGTAAAGTTGGTCGCTAGGAACTGTCGCGCGACGACGTGTCCATCGACGATGAGCAAGGTGTCGTGTCGGTTTCGTCGCACCTCGACCTTGTGCCAGCCGCCGTCGTTGACCGTCCGCTCGCCCTCGATGCGAGCGACGCGTTTCCGTTCCTCGGATCCGATGTGGAATTGCAGCTTTACCTTACCGCGGTGCAGCGTCACCTCGAAGAAATCGTACGTGCCTCCGTCGTCCGTGTACATGAGTAGAGCCTTGCTCTGCCGGGATTTGAACTCGAAGCTGATCGACGCATTGTGACAGGCGGTCCACTTCGGATAGCGCGCGTAGCCGTTCGGTCTTCCCTGGAACTCTAGGCCGGCGGCGGTGTCCAGCAGGAGAACGATTGCTAGCAGGAGAAGGACGAACCCGCGTCCGACTGTTCCCATCGCCATCGCAGGCGATGATTCACTCGCACACGGCAGAGTAGGAGATGCGTTCGCACTCCGTATGTACTCTTTATGTACGTAGCTCTGCTGAGACTAGTTACTGCAACGTTACGCGTGTGTATGTATGTGTGCGTGTTGTGTGTGTGCGCGAGCTGCTCTGTAGATCGCGACGCGCGCTCTCTCTCTCGCTCCCGCTCACCGAATGATGAATACATGCATGGCCCCACGCTCGCTCGCTCACAGCGCGCTCGACCGCAGCGTGGCGCTCGTGTCTGAATATAGCCCGCAGCGGTGACGGGCGTGATGGCGTGGGGTGCCGCGCGGGGGCGTGCTGTGCAGGGCGGTGACGAAGCGGCCCTAGTGGGGACGTGAGGTGCGGTGTGATGTAGCGGCCCCTCGTGAGGGCGTGAGGTGCGGAGTGACGTAGCGGCCCATCGAGAGGGCGTGAGGTGCGGAGCGAGTAGCGAGAGAGAAAGAGAGAGAGACACGCATCTATCACGGCCGTTATCGCTTCTGCCAACAACTCCGACGAACACACGAATATATGCTTAGTGACGATGATTTCGAGAATGAAGACGGGAACGCAGACGGGCGGTGGCGCACGCGGGGTTAGATGCCCGGAAGGCAGGCGTGACTCGCGCGTACATTGTATGTGCGCACACCTATAGAATACCTGTATACATAGCTGCGAAAAAAAAACGCATATTGCCGACAGTATTTAGATTCACTGCCGAACTCGATCTCTGAGTTCTCTGAGTCGGGGACGAGTCTGAGCGTATTGTAAAGGAGTGGATTAAACGACCGTATTTCAGACACGTTATGCTCTGCATTAACTGCGGGAACCCAGGTGCTACATAAAGGCAGATGAGTTACAGTCTAGCCTCTATTACGCATGTGACTACGTACAGTGACTACTACCACCACCATACCATCGACTTGTAACTGAGTATATATAGTGAAGCTAACGAGCACGTAAACCTATATATGCAGTTTCTTAGCCTCAAGAAACACTCGTGTATAATAGTATATCACGCACTTGCGTCTTATATGGGTTTTTACTCCCGCAGCCACGTAAAACTTAAATATTTAGTTCATTTACTCTCGTTACCAGGTCTCTCGGTCTCTCTGAAGGAAGCACCACCAAGGTAGAGCTACGTGCGTAAAAGCGCGTAGCGAAGTCACTTTGATGCGGTACGTTAACAAATTAAGTGGTATATGGTTGTATAGCGGCATTACTGGACGGACGTGCCAAACCGCGTGTTTTGTTATATTTATGCATGATTTATGCAATCTTTCACTCTACTTATAGATATACGACGACGTGGCCTGGCAGGACACTGGGCTTGTGTTGTCTTACCTATCCATTACTATATGTTATATAACGTAGAAACATCAACAGGAAATTCAGTCAAATATGCAATATATTTCATAGTAATTACGCGAAAATTGCCATCGAAAATAGAATTTCTGTATATAGAAATACCAAAAAGGAATTCTAAGGCTAGCGAACCCATTGGAAACGATTGTGTCCTGCCATCTAGCGGGGGAAGCTTTCAAATGCGCGCTCGCTTTGACACAATCCACTAAGTTATAATAACTAATTATTGCATACAGCTCAGTGACACAACACGCGGTTTGGCACGTCCGTCCAGTCGCGTGTCGCATATAGGCACGTAGATCTGCATGACTACAGTGCAGGACAACGGGCGGGCTTCCCATTTCTCAAAGAACATACCGCACGCAGACAGTATTTACTCAGATCATTCCGTGTACATTTTTCTACTGCTTCAGTCTATATTTTATTTTGTATAGTAGAACATGCTATTGCAGGCATCATTCTCTCAGAACCCTCCATGAACATAGCCATCGTGTGAGTGCATAATTATGTGCTACTGTATAGAACATAATCAGCCAGACATTTATTCAGAACTTTTCGTGAACACATCTCTATTGTTTGAGTACATGCGTATAGTACATGTGTTTACTTTCGCGCATACAAAATAGAACCTTCGCCCGACTCTGCTGAGTTTTAACAGAGCACATAAATCACTATGTGCTCTGGTTTTAACGACCATCCACGCCATCTATCGGCAAGCTATTTATAAGCGCACATCAGTCATAATAAGCCAGATATACATATACCATCAGCAAATTTATAGCCATGTATGGGCATTAATATGTTCATGATATACATCAGAAGTGCATTCAGTAAGGTTATGTATGTTGTTAATGCACTCTTCATAGACCGCACGCACGCACACAAATTTCCACCACACCACATTCACGCTACGTATTATGTCTCGCTGAAATACATTAATACACGCGTTCACAAACGCTACATATGGTATGCGGCAGTATAGAAGACGATATGTTGCAAACAAATAACTTTATTAGTCACTTTCTCCACTTTTCCATCTGCAACTCACATTCTAGAAACACAAACAACGACTGAAATTCGTATGTATATATAAGAATGAAACAGATGTCGTAACCTACGTACGATCTTGCTGTAGTAAAAAGGCAGTGTAGTTAATAACTGCAACATGGCCAATGCGACAGTTATATGCGTAAGCGACAGTAGAAGGACTTGAATCAAGTGTCAGTCCAACCATGAATGCATGTAAAGTGAAAATTACATTCCCCAACTGTGCAATATACACGTGTTCATGGCACAACCTAATCAAGTATATGTACAAGAAAGATCGACAGATTATCTTACTTGGTAATATCGCCAATTCATTAGGAGTACATAACAGAAAGATTAGGAGTAGATAACGAAAGTAACAAAAATTAAATCCTATTATATCGTCCAGAACTCGTGCACGTATATGAAAAAGACCACGCGTTACTAATAGAGGAGTAACTTCATGATAATTCCCACGACTTGCACTACATCTGTTTCATTGCCTAAGTTTGGCCCCGACAATTAAACGCACCGCTGCAGAGACTCAGTAAGATAACATGACCGTGAACGTAAAGCATTGCCCGTCCGTGATGTAGAGATAATGTACATGACGTAGAACAACGTCAATGACGAACAATACCCATGACGCAGAACAACGTCAATGACGAACAATACCCATGACGCAGAACAACGTCAATGACGATCAATGTACGTGACGTAGAACAATGTGCATGACGTATAACGTCAATGACGATCAATGTACGTGACGTAGAACAATGTGCGTGACGTAGAACAACGTGCATGATGTAGAACAACGCGTACGACGTAGGGTAATGTGCAAGATGTGGAACAATATCTGTGATGTGGAACAGTGTTCGTGACATAGAACCTCATCAATTGCGTAGAACAATGTCTACTACATGGAACAATGACGGAGAATTAAGACTTACGATGTGCTATGACGCTGACAGCAGACAACCAGGCAAAGACACGCGTTAGATAAGAGATTGCTCTGTGATCAAATGAACGCCCAAGTTTACCGCGTTGCATATTGTCTGTCACTCCATATAAGACATTAGAATTCTCCACCTTCTTCTTTGGTTAATTGTAATATTAAAGCTTTTTGTACTGCAATCCACCGTGTTGATCTGTCTATTTAATCAACTTTGTCTCTCTCCGTCTTCAAGACAGTCTCTTGGACTTTGAAGACTAATCATTATGAGGTTGTGAGGATATATTGCAGCTAGAGTCATTGTTCTACGATAGAATGACTACGTTACTACTCACTTAAGCAGCCCAAGATAATGCATTACAGTAACGTTAATGTTTACCCGGCTCTAAAGTTATAGGTATATACGAATAATTAACTGAATGTACAGACGGTGATAAGCTACCTTCCAAAGCTACCATAACTAATAGCTGCAACTAAAGCTATATCTACACAAATATTATATACACAAACACACGCTCATACGCGCACACAAGCTCAGGCACAAACCTCCCCCTCCGCAACCACCACCCCAGCTACCCACCCAATCCCAGTGAGACAAATCACTGTCATGTTAACAATGAATTCCCCATTACTTATAAATTGTAAGCTTCCGAGAAGCAATCTTTGCGAGATATATTAGCTTAGCATGACTAGGAAGAAAACTGGAGCCCATGGTCAAAAACATCTCAACAAGTTATTATGACATCAAAGTCTAAAATTATCAAAAATTTTTCAAATGAAGTGTTGTGCAAAAAATATGACGTTTTATGCTTACGATGTCATAACCATTTTCCTGTTCTTTGATGAATGTCACTATGACGTTTCTGAAAATGGGCCCTGGGTTCTGATGACACGGCCAACATGTGGGCGTCGCGTGGTGATGTACATCACAATCATTATGCTGCTGAGAATATTGCGACAAGTGCATCGTGACCACTGTGACGATGCAGCTAGACGCATGAATACATACATATTTATAACAATGTCCTTCCTTACAACATATACATACCACACCCATGGCAAAGAAAGTCATCATGAAACACACATTCACACGAAATAATAATTGCACTGGTTTAAAACTGAACAGAATATCTTCCATCTACCACAGTTACACGTTAGCACGATTGTTTTAGTATAATAGTGCTTACTGTTACACACGCACGAATGCGCACACACATACACAGACATTTACACACAATCAGTGATGACAGTTTAACATCATTGTTGAATATATTAGTGCTACTGCATTACACACACACGCACGCATGCATGCACACATGCACGCATGCACACTCACACGCAGGCACACTCACACGCAGGCACGCACGCACGCATGCACGCACGCACACATAACTAGGTAGTTTTAAGGAATAAAAACAATAATGGCCAAGCATATTCGCATACATGCATATTCACATGTAAATGCCTGGTATTTCCTTGATTTTTCCTACTGTTTAGAAAACTTGCAAAAAAGTTTCAAGATTTATCTAAAAACTGAAAACTTCCCCTCAAAAAAAAAAAACTGCATAAAAAAAAATTCCGCTGCATAATAACAGCACAACCATATTATATGGTTGGAAAAACTTGAAATTGAGGTTCCACTCCATGCTCATAACAGGGTTTTGCACTATGAGATCATTCAAAATGATTTTTCTTTTGAAATGAGAAAATTCTTCTTCCAAATGAGATTTAGTCTTAATCTTGGTTTCCCGGACCCTGCGGCAGGCCGACCAGACCAACTCGCTTGCATGCTGAGCGTGGTTCATGATCGAGTGGGCAACCGAACAAACGCGTGTTGGTATGTGTGCAACTCGACACCTACACGCACGAACTGTGAGTTGTGAAGGTTATGGTTATGTTTAAGCTCATCCAGGATTCCCCTCCTTTGTTCAGGACACGGGGGAACACACGTGCCGATACTGCTGCTGCTACATCTACACAGATACCATGCCCACCCGCCCCAATCATCTCCTCGTGCTATCGACGCGACCCGCCAGGTGGCGCTCAGTTGGCCTCAGATTCGCCGAACTCTGCTCGGATGGCATCGGGATCGATTGTCTTCTTGTCTAGATCCGTGCCAGACGGCTGCGACAGGTTCTCGCTCAGTAATCCAATCCCTGTAACAATCAACGCCACCTGGTGTCACACACGGTGCATCGCTAAATTTATATTTTTCAACTCATTTATGTATAAGTTTAATTATGATAATTATTATTAATATTAACAATTATATTAAGTAATACGCCCAATATTTAATATATATAGGTTTATGTTTTTATAGCTCAATAACGTCGAGTGATAGGGTTGTCAAACCCACATGAGGTAATGCAGTGCAGTGGTTGTGTTCCGTAGAGACAGAATTGTCCTCTTATTACACAAGTAACACGTCATATGGTATTAGACATGGCTCAAAATAAATGCTAGTTATCGCTGGGAAACACAGCAAATTCAACGCAAATATTTAGCAGAACACCTAGGTGTATTATAGGTGCAATCTGAACAAAATAATCGAAATATCTTTCAATTATTATATTGTTTAGTTTTACCCAATCACAAGCCTGGTAAGAAAGGCATTTTTGGCAATTGCATTATATAGCGACAACGATATCTGCAGCTTGGCATTTCATGTGGCGGAAGAATTGCGGAGAAATGGATGAGATGTCAACAGTGAGGTCGATTCATGAAGGTCAATTATGGGCTAGGAAGGAATGAGCACAGGGGACCGGGTCTCAGTAGAGGGGTAAAAATATAAGGGTTGCTTTGGGAAGGGACCAGCACTGAGGTAATTAACATAACATTAACTCTAAGGTAATTAGATACTAATGTTGCCAATTAATTCTACTAATAATGGGATATAAATTAGTGCAGATAGCATAAACACCGTTTTCAGGTTACTTAATGCTCCATGCAGTTAATCAGCCTCAATGCCCCAATGATAAATTAACCCACATAAAAATCACACCTTTCAACATTATGCATACGAGCACACACCACCTCAACTGAACATTCGTAATATCAGGGGTATATAATAACCTATTATTTTACATTTTATTTTATTCAAATTAATTTTTGTTATTATTCACCCCTGGTAATATTGAGAGCGCAGATAACATGCAGTGTGAACAGAAGCAGCTGCGCAGTGACTGTGTTACGATAAAAGCAGAGAAGTTAAACACACATACCCGCTGTTGGAACGGTGGCTATTCATAGAAAGAAACGAAGACAGTGTTACACAGACAAATGGGAGGGAAGAGCAATAGAGTCCTTAACTGTCTCTCAGACATGACTGATATCAGAAAGTAAGAAATGATTGTCTTGTAATAGGTCTCTATCTCTCTCTCACGCTCTCGTTCTCACCCTCACCCTTTGACCATCTCTCTCCTTCTTTGCCTCCCACTTCACTTTCCCAACTCTCCCTTCTTCCTTAATCCCCTCTCTCTCTTTCCCTCTCTCTGTCTCTCTTTCTCTCTCCCCTCGCTCCCCTTTTCGCAATCTTAATCTCTCTCTGTCTTTCTCTCAATCTCTCTCTCTCTCTCTCTCTCTCTCTCGCTCTTCCCTCACTTCCTTTCTCTCCTTATTCATGCTATAATTACCGGACTCATTCTCTACCGCTGTAATCTCGTTTTCTGCTGCTGTCAGTTCATATGCTCTATACGGACGTCTCTCTATGCTGTGCCAGATGCCGTACAGGAAATATATTAGAAATCCTGCAAAAACAAAAATAACGCATAAATTTCCCACAGAACATTGACCATCAAGACACTCACATACACCAAGCAGGAGCATTATTCACTGCTATATATCTATGCCGTTTGACATGATTTATTCATATATCATGAGAAATCTTTCATCTTGATGAATCATTTTTATGTAATAATTTAGTAATGCAATGAATCTGACGAATTTGTTATATTAATATCATATTAATTCACTCAAACACACACTTAATACAATTCCTGTTGAAGTTTTTCTCCCTACATAAGTGGGGTAGCTTTGACACCCCACCTCCCTATTTAGTTAGCTATAGCTAAATCCAAAACAATAAAAAATAAGTAAAATTTATTGATTCTTAAGTGAAAATGTGTAGCCGCTGTCTGTAGATACTTCTAAGTTTGACTACTAGATGTCAGCACATGCCCTAGACAAGAGACTTATTGGGATTCTACGTACCGGCAAACATCCAGACTGAGAATCGAATCCACGTGCCGATGGAAAGCTGCGTCATGAGATAGAGGTTGATGAAGATGCTTAAGGATGGAATGAAGGGGACAAACGGCACCTGCAAACAACATGAGCAGCAGCTGTAGCGTATCTATTCCACATTAACACAGTGCCAGCGACATTCTTAAACATGCACAGGATGCATTACATTTGCATCGCAACAAACAAATAGTTATACAAGGACATCTTATTGCTTACCATGAACAACACCTTGACTTTCCTTACCATGAACAGCACCTTGGCCTTGCTCTGCGGCTGTCGAATGATGACAAACACCGTGATGACTATCATCAGGACGAGTGCCGACACGAGCAGGATTGCTCCGGGACTGCGTTCCATCAGCTGGTCCGACATCTCGTTCAACAGTATGCTCACCAGCAGGATTAGCACGGCTGCAATAAAGGTCACGCTAGGAGTCAGTGACGAAGCCTGCTGCCATCTACAGTCACGTTTCGAAATCTTTCGAAATCATCGAACGAAACAAGGGTTCGCAGCCATCGCGCTGCCACCTGTGGTCGCGTTTTGTATTGTGGAATTAATTAACAAAGGTGAAATGGCCATTGCTCTCTCTCTCTCGTGTGTATAATCTTCCTTCAGAATTATTGAGTGAATTTGTGAAGGTCCGCTGGTAAGTCTGTTGCCATTTGCCATTTATAGTCTTATTTCACAATTATTGAATGAATTAATGATGGGTCGAATACGATTCTGTTTGTGATTCTTGCAGTCACAATATCGAATCATGGGACATCGAGGAGTGAGGACATACCCTCATAAACTGGATCATCTTACAGAATTTGGTCAAACCTGTGTATCCAAGCAATTAACACATTTATAAAAGGCACTTGGCGCATCCCTTTAGTGGCGGTTACATAGCGCTGATGTAATGGCCAACAGTACGTAAAATATGCTCTTTTGGCACTCTCCCCTGACTGGCACTTAAATAGAGGTAGGACATACACATTTGTATATTTTGGGGTTCATACCTAGGATTGCTACGGCCCACGCCACAATCGTCCCCGACAGAACGGTCGCTTCCTGTGACAGCGGCTTGAAGAGAGAGGTGAATATCTCCGACTTCGAGTAGATGACGCCGGTGCTGGCATTGGTGCGCCGCAGATACTTCAGTGTTAGCTCACTCTCATCGTAGATGATGTTGCTGTGCTCGGCGAGCGGAGAGAGAGAGACACGTTAAAACGCGTAGAAGTAGTAACGGAAGAACGTAGAGAAACGATATTCGAACGTCACCACGGGAGCTGTTACTGTTAAAATCTCTTAATGTTTCTGTTCTCTGACCACCACAGCAACATTGAGAGATTTTAACAGCAACATTAATGCTCCTGTGGTGACGTCCGAATAACATTACGATATTGGTAGTGACGCAGGTGAGACGACATCACAAACAATCTCGAGTAAACGTGATATGAATTGAATCATTAAACATTAACTGTATGGGTATGGACACATTCAGAGAAAAAATTAAAATGTATTTTTCGGGGGCTACTTTCAAGCTAAGCGCGTGCATGAAAATGCACCTTAACTTTGGGTTTGCATTGAACTACTATGCGCAAATTTACGGGGCTCTTTTTTTGGCATTATCTGGGGCGTCCTTTTTGCATTTCAGAGGCTAAATCGCCCCGAGCCCCCGTGTATTTTTTCCACTGGACACATTTCAAAGTCAGCAAAGGGTGTGAAATGTGAAATTAAAATATTAAAAGACATCAATGACAACACCCACACACATGCGCATGTGCACGTACACGCACACGCACCACACCGACACACAAATCCTACTTTTGGGCCCAGCTACTATGGAATCCGCGTCCATCACATGATACCGACAACCTGTGATACCTAGTGATCGTACCAGTATATAGTTATGTTATAGTGACCATACACATTAGTAGTCCATAAGTGCCGCACAACCGAATAACGGTAATAGGTCGTTACCCTTCAAAAGTCTCCGCCTGCGTCGCTCGTTGTCAGGGTAGCCTGTTGACTCAGGCTGACCAACAGGTTTGGGGCGCATCACCCGCCCTTCACTACCCAACCTCTCCAGCAGCCCCGCCCCCCATACCTGCCAAACAATGGAAAATCACGTTCCGCCCTCACCCGCAACTAGTGTCCCAACTATCCCAACCTACCCTCCATCGCCTCCCCCCCCCCCCCCCCCAAAACAACGCCGCCAACGCTCAGGCAGCACAGCCGGTACCCACGTAATCTGCTGTTGAAAATTAGAACAACAACATCGGTAACCTACACGCTGAACGCGGCACTAACGGAGTTGCATTCCTGCAGAATGGAACGTGAGGGCAGCACGATCGGTTTCGTTCCGATGCCGGCTCACGACACAGCAAGGTAACAAGGCTACCAAGGCTCCAAAAAATTTAATAGGCTTAATAAAGTTACTGGCTTGAAGCAAGCAACGGAAGAGAGAGCAGGGAGGAAGAGTGAAGCAAAACGAGGCGTGAACGGTGAGTGGAGATGAACATTGGACGGCTCACCTACGACAATCCTAGTACGTAATGACACACATGATAACATAAAACATACCTGACTAATGAGCACAACAGCAGGTAGACGAGGGTAGCTACGCCTAGCCCCGACGTTCCGTATCAGACATTCATGTCCACGAACGTTCCTTTTCAGATGCTCAAAATACTCGTCGTCATGAAGCCTAAACCCAGCAAACACGGCAATGCAGGTAGCGCGAAATGACGGCGAGGCGGAGGACTCGAGCGCGATTCGCAGGCAGGCCGCTCAGGACTATGGACGGCAAGTCACGCATCATACGCTCACCCGTGAGTACGGACGTACACTGCAATAGATTCCGGGCGGGAGAAACGTCAAGTGTCGTGCGTCGGTACGTCGATTGTCTGCGTCGTCATGCCATCGAATCTCGAGCTTCGGACGTCGCCCGCCAAACTCGCACTAGGATGGCACCGACGACGCTAATCGCCCCCTCTGACACATCTCAGGAGTCTGGTGAATCGGAGTTTTTCTATGAAGTCTTTTTCTACTGAATACTTTTTCAGTTGAAACTAGCTTCTATTTTGCAAATAAACGAACGAGAAGAAAACAGGGAAATTCCAATCTGGTAGCCAAAAATGAAGAAAGTAAACTTGAAGGACACTTAAGAAATATCTATTAGATTGAGTAACTGATATCAGATAAGAGTGATAGACAGTGTGATCTGTTCCTATTCAATGCAGCTGCCTGTCTCTCTGCGTTTCGACTGTAGTCCTTACAACTTTGAAGACGACTGATGCTTACGCGGTTGTGAGGATACACCGTAAGCCGAAACGGGGAAGCGCAGACCCCGCACGCGCCGAAGCTTACAGCGAGAAGGCCGCGGACATCCACCGCTGGGCGATGATCGGCGTCTTGAACGTTCGTTGATGTGGGCGAGGAAGGCGAAACAAGAGGCCATCGCTCCTCCCATCGCGTATATGACGCCGGCGTCATGCGGAACTCGATCCGAGTCAAGCTGGCAACACGACTCGCTCAGCCAGCGCATTCGCCACCGACCTCAAGCATACTACTAGCAGCATCCATACTACGTACTGGCTGCAGGGCATCTACTACTAGCTGCAGCATGCTACTACTACTGCAGCATCTACTACTACGCAGCATCTACTACTACTGGGCAAGCATCTGCTACTACTGGCAGCATCACTACTACTCGGGGCCAGCATCTACTATACTGCAAGCACTACACTAACTGCATGCATTCTACTACTACTCGCAGCATCACTTACTCACTGCAGCATCTAACTACTACGCAAGCATCTGCTACTACTTTTGCACGCCATCTGCTACTACTGGCAGCATCAACACTACTGCAGGCATCTACTACTACTGCAGCATCTACTACTACTGCAGCATCTACTAGCTACTGGGCAGGCATCTACTACTACTGCAGCATCCTACTACTACTGCAGCATCTGCTACTCCTGCCAGCATCAACTACTACTGGCGGCAGCATCTACTACTACTGCAGGCATCTACTACTACTGCAGCATTGCTACTACTAGCTGCAGCATCCTACTACTACTCGCACGCATCTTACTCCTACTGCAGCATCTCTACTGAGCTGCCAAGATCAACTACTACTGGCATCTACTACTGACTGCAGCATCTACCTACTACTGCAGCATACTTATCTACTGACTGGCAGCATTCTACTACGTACTGGCAGCATCTAACTACTACTGCACCAATCTTACTACTACTGGCAGCATCTACTACTACTGCAGCATCTAACTACTACTGTAAGCATTCTACTACTACTGCTGCATCTACTACTACTGGCGAGCGTTTTTCTACTACTACTGCAGCATCTACTACTCACTGCAGCAATCTACTACTACTGCAAGCAATTACTACTATGTAGCGATCTACCTAGAGCTGCAGGCATCTACACTACATAGCAGCATCTACTACTACTGCAGCATCTACTACTACTTGCAGCACAACTAGCTACTGCAGCATCTACTACTACATGAAGGCGATCCTAACTACTACTGCAGGCATCTAGTTTTTTATTTTTGTTTTTTCTACTACTGCAGCATCACTAACTACTGCAGCAACCAACTACTACTGGCACCACCCAAAAAATCCTAGCTATCTAACCTGCAGCATCTACTACTACTGCAGCATCTAGCTACTACTGGAGCATCTTACTAATGACTGCAGCATCTACTAGCATACTGCAGGCTGCAAACCACTACTGAGCATCTACTACTTAGTGCGAGCATCGATGTCTTCGTTAATCGTAGATCGTTGACTACGCTGGGGCACACTGGTGCCACCTACATCGCTAACCACACTGCAGTCATTCACACGGCGCCACCTACATCGTGACTACGCTGCGGCACCACCGGCGCCACCTAACCTCGTGGAGAGGCCCGCAGACGGCACGAACGTGGATCACGTATTTCGCGACCGCCCAGCCGACGCGGTCGAGACGAACGCAGTGGCGCTCGCCGTTGAGTGCGTAGTAGGGCGCCATGAGCCGTGGAGAACGCTCGAGATGGCCAAATGTAGCGGCGACAACAAAAGAGGCACGACAGGGACAGATGCTGATCGGGATTCCCGCTGAGGTTCCGCGCCTCCTCTCCTACACAGAGAAAAGAAGTTAGGCGATGTTAGATACGCCCTCTAGTGAGGGAAGACACAAACTGTGGAGAGACGTGACATAGAGGTGCCCTCTATTGAGGGAAGACACAAACAATGGAGAGAGTGACATTAGAGGTGCCCTCTATTGAGGGAACACACAAACAGTGGACAGAACGACGTCAGAGGT